AATAAATTACATTAATGTTTTTTAAATTAATTCAACATTAAGTGCAGCCAAAATAAAAAATATACTATTTTTTGCAATAGGTACAACTGTTTGCTCTGATTCTAATTGTTTTATGTGTTATGCATTTTAATTTTTTCTAGAAATATTTAACGGGCCATCAGATATCCCCAAATTAATAACACTTTTTGAAACAATAAATGTTTAAGACAGAACACGTAATATAATGCAAACATCTATTAAAATATCTAAGATAGAAATATAATTATTGTAAAAGCGAGAATATGCAAGGACGCAATGCTTAACAAAAATTCTCTCCAAAATTAAAGGACATTACGAGTATTTAGAAGAAAGTGTAGAAAGTTTCAAAGAACGCAAAATAATGTCTAATGCCCATTTCTACCAACGTATAGATTATTTTTAATCTCGGTTATTTTTAATCTCTGATTCTGAGAACCAGAACAAGTTAAAAGGAAATTAAATCAAGGTTAAAGTTGATCTATATGATAGATATGGACACAAATCTGGTTCCACCAATGTAAGATTAATTTTTTTTCTCGGTTTAATTTACTCTTTATCTTTTTTTAATTCTAAGACCTGGTTTCATCAATATAAGATTCTCATATAGAATTAGAAAAGAAAAAAAAGAGTACATTGAATCGAAATTAAAGTTAATCTTCTTATTAATCTTATATTGATGAAATTGGACCGTAACAAAGACTTTGATATACCTCAAATTAATTAAATCAGCACAATACGAATAAAGCTATTAAATTAATTAATAAAATCATGTTTAATGTATAGGAAAATTAAAAATAATGTACTGTATATCAGAGATTTTGTTAAACAATTCTAACGGTCGAATTAAGTTTATCAGAGTTTTATCGAAGTCGTCTAGATTGTTACGAAATGGAGCAAAATCCATCGTTCGATTCCAAATAGTCAAAAACGACCCTAAATTTTTTAGAACTGAAGGGAGAGTGAAACTGGTAGAAGAAAGGGCACATATGATGACACATCGCTACTGTCAAAGTCTGAAAAATCCGCTCGTTAATCGATCAGCTGATTGATAAATGCATTCTGCATTGACCTATTGTCGTTATTACGCAATCCCTGCAGGTGCGATAGACGATAAGTATTTTACATCAAGCGTTGTACAGTCCACTAAACCACATAACCTATACAGACAGCAAACAATGGGTCTGTTTTTGTCTGGTTGAACTTGAAAAAGTGTACACTTTTGGAACTTAAAGTGAGATAGGTATATATTTATCATTTGGCGAAAGCGAGAAAGAGAGTTCTGATGCAGTCTAGTAGGAATAAAAACAGATTTAACGATTGACTTACGTTGTGATACACCGGGACATAGATGACATCATCAAGAAGGTGCCGTCTGCCGCGAGTTGACGCCACCCCTCCGGTGCTCTCCTTTAATTAACTTTCATATTCCCGGCATCTAATCATGCTGTTGCACCTATAGGCCGCACTGCAAGGTCTACAAGCCGCCCAAACGGTTCAATGCAGCTTATGCCACTTTATATATGTAGACCGATTGTCCAAGTGTGAACCCTCTCATTACGACATCTACACGACATTTCGGAAACGCATTGCATCATGTATTGATCGAGGCATCCTTTCCGCCAGAATTAGGTCGGTACATCTCTAGGCCCGCGTCTTTGTATATTAATTGTTTCATGAGTGATTACCCAGCCAGCACAGAATATTTATGATAAATATTTATTATATTCATCTTTTGAAATGTTATATAGATATTTTATACACATTTTATATAAAGCTTTATTCGAAATATTATTAAAATATAGACTAAATATTTTATGCAACATTTATGATAAATATAAATAAATATTTCTAATAAGTATTTTTTATTTGGATTATAATGTGTCTCATTAAGTATTTTTACAGCATTTACTATAACTATTCTAACAAGTATTTCATAATATTTATAATAAATATTTATGATCTGTGCAATCTAAAACCACAAAAAATATTTATAAAATATTAAAAATAAATCTTATAAATATTTCTAAATATTTTGTGCTGTCTCTGGATAACATATAGGTATTTATCATTATGATGATTACAGAGATATATGGTGCCGTCAATAACCGGCACTATACGTAAAAAATACATCTTATTTTCGCGCGCGCGCGCGTTTAACGTAATATTTTAAATAATATAAATAATCGATAACAAAAAAGTACAAAGTATAATATTTTATGTTTACGAATAGTCTTATTTAATCTCTCATATTACATTATATCATTATTAATAATTGCAATTAATAATGATAATTTATTATTATTCATTATTAAAAAATATAATTATAATAAGTTTGACTCTTGGGAATTAGCGCTATACAATGTGCGCGATAAATTTCAATATTATTATATCTCTCGTATTTAATAATATTGAAATTTATCACGCACATAATACAGCGCAATTTGCGCAAGAGTCAAACTTATTATTAAGATATAATTAAGATTATCATTCGCGTTATTCATTACTATCTATTTTTGTAAAACATATTTGTTATACGTTTATAATAATAAAAATTCTACGTGACAAGACATAAATTATTCGCTGGACAGACATTTTTGCCTGTATTTTTATTCGTAAATGCATTCCTAGCAAAAAATAAAAGGTATCATTTTACTATGTATACAATATTATTCGTGAAATTAATCAATGTACGCTCTTTAAAAAAAATACAAATCTCTTCTGTCCAATTTAAAAATAAAATAAAATTACCGAGGCACATTCGAGCACATTAATTTGAAAAATGACATTCTACAATAAAAACACTCTACAATGTATGAAAGAAAAATTATAATGCTGTTATCAATAATGCCGTTAAAAATGCAGTATTAACTCGAGTCATAATTAAAAATGTACATTTATATCCAAATATAACAGAAAAAGATTCAATAGCAACTAATGTAAATTTAGTCGTAAGACTAGACGCATACCGATCGCTTACGATAGCGGATAGAATAACGATACTTATATTGTGACGACAGAGTAAGGGTAGAAATATTTATGTTAATCATGTTTATTACAGCAATAACATTATGCGCAGCATTGCAATTTACATGTATAAAATTCGCGAGAACGAGCGAGCTATTATCACAGAAAACCGAGCGTTCTTTCCTTCATTCGTCTAATTGTGGGTGGTGGTCGATCGTTGTATATCGCTCGAATGACGGGCATGATTCATCATCGATTCCACGCGATTCGCTGTCTCCCGTACCACATCCGATATCTCGTCTGGTAGGTGATCCAGCGTCGGGATATGCGCCGACAGTCTCTTGTAGACAGAGTCTCTGCTGCCGTCCTTTTTGTGTCGCCTTTGCTCCTCGTACTTGAGCTGCTGCTTGAAGAATATGGCGTTCTTGATGAACTCTAGGGTATTCTCGAAGCTCTTCCCAGCACCCTGCATCGTTCGGATGGCGCTGACCGCGTACTCCACGTCGTAGCATCTGCCTAGCAATTGTTGCTGTAGCGCCAGCACCTCTACTCGTTTCTCCACCATCGGTGGCAGAGCTTTTCTCACGTGTTCCTGCAGCCTGTAAAATGCGAGCGATGGCTCGTTCGCAACGATGTGCATGTTCTCTGATATGCGTTCCGTTGCTACAACAATGAGATTTCATTACGCGAATCAATATTTACGTTCTGTCACATTTCATATACCAATGTTAACATATTATACATACCGATCCCTATTTAATTCTTAAAAGCTAGTCGGTATAGAGAACCATCTAGTCTACAAGTCGACTTATGATATCAAGCAAAAAAATATTCAAAATGATATAAATTAATGCTCAATTCACAATTCAAAATGTAGATGTAATTGTAAATAATTTTAAATTTATATTTATAAAAATTGACCAACCATACAATTGAATTCTGCCAATCGCAGTAGAGACCATAAGATCATATTGTAAACAATAGCAACATATTGATTTTTTTCCTGCTTTCCTCTTCTTACTTAAATTTTTCTGTGTGCCTTATGTGTGCTCTTAAAACAATAACTACTTACGCAATTGTAGAACAGGCTTAAAAAGGTACGAAGACGCTAACATTATTAACCTTTCTTAACTTTTGTTTCCAACTCCTGATCAGGTTGATATACTTTCGCAGCCATCGTTTGGAATATCACATCGGGTTGAAATCTCGCAGTTTTAAACGCCACTTCAACGTCAATTCGACATATTGAGATGTAAATAGTAGCTCTAATCATGCAGTCCTTGACGCACGTAAACGAAATATGTCAGGCTCGTCGCATCGTGGAATTGTTCCTTTAAATTGGATGTCCGTTTCTTTTGGAACACGGTCTTCTATCTTCTATGTATATATATATATATCTTTTTACAAGATTCTTCTAAATTCAAATAAACATATACGATCAAAGTGATAAAACCACTTTATTTTCTCACCCGCGCATAACAATCGAGCGACTGTCACAATCAGCTGATCGTCAACAGTGTTCTACACTTGCGTCTATTGCACTTGCACTTTACATAGATAATTTCTCCCTTATTTGCAAGAATCAAGAGCAATTAGGAACGTCGGCATTCTTTTTGTTGTAACAAGAAAATTTTGTAATTTGGTAACAAGAAATATTTTGTAATTTGGATTTGATAATTAATTAGAACATCCCTTTGCTCCAATTTCGATGAAATTGTGCTTATTCCGGATTTATTAAAATAAAATTACAATCAATGTTACAGCGAGTTTGGACATCTTATTAAAGAGTTCTCATGAAAATTGTTGATTTTTGTTTTATTTCTGCGTCGATTGTAATGTTGATTTTGCGAATTATTGATAGATATTTAATTAAGAATGAAATAATTCGAGTTTGTGGCAGACGCGTTCGTACAAAAGGTGCGCCACCCATCACCCCATGTGTTAGCGCTTACAGCGCGTACCGGAAGTAACGATGTGTACACGGACTTATCTCGTGTCCGGAAACGTGGCAGCATACAGGGCGCTGTTGGCATTTCTACCGGGTATATTCCGTTCCGGTGCTCGGGCTCAGGTTGGATCGGGGTGCTGCTGAGTGCTCCTGCTGTACGTATATCAACGTGTATCACGTATGGAGCGGTTGGCACTGAGCGCATTGAACGAGTGAAACGAAAGACTATTTGCGCGTTTTGAGACAGCGAGCGACAATAATCATCGTTGCACGTTTTCACAAAGAAAAACGTAAGTCCTACGTTTCGTTTTTTTATTCTCAAACACTCGCGAGGATAAAATCTAAGAATTGTTCTCAAGGGGTTGACAACAGGTCGAGTCTTTTAGTGGCACATCACAGGTGTTTTCGAATTTCTGCCCGAAACGGCACAATTATGACCGTGATAGTAAACGAAATAATCGTTCCACACACAATCCTTGAGATATTATAAAAATTTCACACAAATTTTGCTTTTTTTAAATATCAAAATCATCGTACTCGATGACAGAGTCGTCACACGCATATAAACGGATAAATTAATGTAAGGTTGACATAAAGTATATATATATATATATATCGTGATGTATGAACTAAGCAACTTACATCGGTGAATTTACGTATATTAATAGCGTTTTACAGTGTAAATTGATAATAAAGTGGCTAATAAGACCTCTTAATCTTATAGAATGAAGTGGCACATCTTATTCACAGCGCTCGCTGTGTTATGCGCAACTATATATGCAGAGGAGGAGGAAGAAGCTGCTAGATTATTAGTTTCCAAACAGATACTCAATAAATATCTGGTAGAAAATATGGACATAGTTATTAAGGTAACAAAAAAGAAGAACTTCTCCTATGTGTTCGATGCTTCTGATATATAAAGTATAATAAAGTATATATTTTCAGATTTGGGTTGCTTATACTTTTTATATTTAGTATATCTTTGCTTTCTTTTTCTTCAAAGCCCGAATATATATTTGTCTCATTTTAGGTACAAGAATTTTTGAGAATTTCAAATAACGCAAACAGATCTATTAAAACATTCTTTTAAAATGGCTGTGTTTAGCAGAATATTTATTTTGCAATTGTTGCAAGTTTTTTTCATTGAGAGACAGGACCGTTTTTATAGATCTACATGTAAAAATGTAATCCAATCAAAGCAAAGAAAATTTCCAACGGTTGTAAATAAACATTCTGCTGAACTTCAATGGACGTTTTCTAAACTGTCGAAATATTATATTACTTAACAATCTGTATTAAAATTTGTAGTATACTATTTATAATACTGGCAACGTGGCAGCGTTGGAGGTCGAGATTACGGACAATTCGTTCCATCCAGATCATTTCACTCACGTGAGTGGCGAATTGAACGCTAGAATCGATCGCGTGCCACCCTATACCAATGTGAGCCATACTGTGGTAGTGAGGCCACGCAAGTTTGGATATTTCAACTTTACTTCAGCTGAAGTTCTCTATCGTCGCAAGGAGGATGCCCCCAGATTACAAGTAGCTGTGAGCAGTGAACCTGGCGAGGGGCTCATTGTGGCATACAGGGACTATGACAAACAGTTTTCATCTCATGTGGTAAATACGAATACATATATTTATATAATCATACAAATATTATTTGTAATTGAGTTACAAGAGAAATATTGCAGAAAAAGTAACTTTATAACTTCACAAATTTTAGAAATGTAATCACACATATGTAATAACATGAAAAATAAATACTGTAGAGTCTTGTATATCACAATGTATTATATACTGTACTATTTACGTATTATTTTCTATTTCTCAATTTATATGACGATAGTTAATCTAATTTTGTTTTTGCCAAGTAAGATTATTACAAATTATTTTTTGCCAAATATAATATATATTATATTGTTTTGCTTTATAAAACAAAATTACAATAATTATTGCCTAAGGTCTTGGTTGAAAATTAAGTATCGATACATTATCTTAATCTATATATATATTTTTTTAGAGTAAAGTTTTATCGCTTCAATACAATCCTATTTTGTTGTGCCTTGCAGGTCGATTGGGCCGCGTTCGCCGTGATGACTCTACCTTCCTTGCTCATTCCATTCGCCTTGTGGTACTCGAGTAAATGTAAATATGAAAAATTATTGAAGAACACGAAAAAACATTGATTGTATATTACATATTAGAATCGTTTCTAGAAATTTCTAGGTCACTTTATAAATTTTCCTATATCATTGTAAGAAACACAACTGTTCTATTACGTACATCTAACTTTTGTAATAAACGTGACGCTATTTATGAACATCGTGTTGCATTTTTTGTATTTATGAGTATATTTCAACTTCTCACTTGGATATTTCTGACATCTAAAGAGTAAAATATTTTGATTTATTACCCAATTTCCTTGAGTTTTCTTTTTTCTTGTTTTACAATGAAATATCTATCCTTTTAAAATTTTTTATATTATACTTGGCACCAGAAATCTAATCTGTTTTTTACTTAACAAGCGAATAATTAAACTATTTCTAGCACTTCTATATTTAACTTAGAATATAAAATTGAAAGATTGTTCTGCGCTATACATATATCCTATAAATGTATACATATCACAGCTTCACAAAATATAAAAAAATAAGGTTTTTTGTCCTTTCTGTGATAATATGCAATATAATATTGTGTATATTGAATAACAAGTTGGCTGTCATTTTATTTACGTAAACAAAAATATATAGTTGTATGACTAGGAACTGTCGATATCGTTATAAAAATGAAAATAGTACACAGATAAGTGTCGTGTATCATGGCAATGTTAACAACAGACTATTATAATCCTACTTTGCGCGCGCGCGCACTCACGCACGCACGCACCTACGCGCGCGCACACACACACACACACACCTTACAAAGTCATATATATGTATATACACACACACATAATATGTATATATAATATCATACATTTGTCGCGTCAAGCAAAGAAACAAGTATAACATTTTACAAAAATTAAGCTTGTTTTTCTTAAGAAATGTAGCATTGCGTTTCCATATATTAACAAAACAGATGACAATTTTGACTTTAAGGCACGATTCTGCAATGATTATCATATTCATTTATAATAAATGAAAATAATTCTCGATGAAAACATCAGAGGCTTTACGTTTGCAAAACTAAACCTTTCTGATGAAATTGAGCATGTTAATTTAAATATTTCTTAGCGAAAAAATATTGGAACGGATTATTTTCTAACAAATTTTCGTCAATAATTCAGAGAATTCTAACATATATCTCTTCTTCTAATATACGGTGTGCCGAAACTACGAGGGTCACCATAAACAGATGATTCAAATGCCGAAAACGGCCTTAATGGTGGAGTTCGAAGCGGGCTGCTACTCGGAGTAGTGGCTGTTGGAGTAGTTGTACACGAAGTACAGATCGTCTTTTTTATCATCGGCGGTGATTTATCAGCTATAAAGAATGTCATTAATGTCACAATGCTGTATTGAGAAAAACATTGTAAGACAAACATCGTAACACTAATGTCAACAAGGAAAATTAGGAAAAAAAAGAATGGCATACGTACCAAAAATAGTTCTGTTTCTGATTGTTAAATCGACAGCCGCTACTTTATGTTTCCAAACTGAAAAACACACAAAACCTACATTAGTAATACTAAAAATGACATAAGTTTGAAAAATTCAAATCTAGCTTTACCATAAAAAATTGTAATCACAATAACAGCGAACGTTCCCAGCGTGTATCTGTGAAAATACATGTAATTGACCCATTGTACTCCGGACATAGGGATGAATTGATTATATCTCGAAACACGTATGCGAAGCTGAAAAGAAACGCATGTCATAAAATAACGATTGCTAATGTCAGCTACATACATAAATGCGTTTAAAACACACATACGGCTTACTTACAGATATGTTTTGCTTGGTCAAATCGTTCGCAATAAACACTTTTTGTCCTTGAATCTCGTCTTGATTATCCATTAAACGCAATCTATATTGTATTGTAAATTTGGAAACATGTTGCCAAGTGATGGCCACACCATCCGGTACGTCAACCTAATAGAAAGTGTTAGTATTTTATAAAATTTAAAAAAAGATATACGAAATAATAAATATTAACATTTAGCAAATATTACAAATTTTAAGCTCAAGAACCTAAAATATTTGTTCAATGTTAATATTGAGATCTTGGAAAGAATCTCTAATTCCAACAAACAAATAATTCAATAGAAAATTAAAACATTTATCAATAATTTTAATTATGTCATTTCTTATGCGTAAAACTTGGTTTTTTAAATAGATTTTTAAACATACATATATATTTTTTTTAGATTCTTAAACAAACGACTTACAGTGAGATACTGTAATACCGTCGGCAAGCCATACACCTCTAGCGTTGTCGACGGCGCACTACTACTTTGTGTGTTGACAAACATAATCTCCTTAGCATCGATATATACAGGTGGCAAATAAGCGAGTTCCAAAGCTGTCGATTCAATGTCCCGGCTCTGGACATTAATTTGAATATGACTCTCTAATATACTGGCGGCTATGGTCGGAGAACTCATTGGTATGATGTCGCAGTAATAGAAGCCTGCAATAAACACGAAGAGTGATGACAACAAGCTTATTCATTTTCATCTGATCTCTCGCTCATCTCTATCCTTCATCATGCGCATGATACTGTACTGACCTGTCACGATATCGAATCGCGGCTTCACTACGAATAGGTCCTTCACGCCAATTGAAGAGGTTGATGAAACAAACTGAATGTTACATGAATAGGGAAACGCGTTTAATGCGAATGACGATAATGTCCGACAACCGCCCAAACCTCTTGCCAATACGTTATTTTCTTTGATTTCCTCATCTTTCCCCTTCAGCACAAGTGGCACGCTGAAAGTTTCTGTGCCAGTAATGTTTCTTCCTCTCAAAGGAACTATAGATACCTATGCAAAAAAAAATCATTTTATAATAATGTACTGTAAAAAGCATCGTTATGACATTACTACGTCTTTTTGTTGTGAATTACCCGTGCGACTGGTAGAACGTTGACTTCTATTTCACTTTGCACGTGTGTCGCGAGACTATGTTTTATAACGGCATGCCCGACGTTTCGTGCGCGACCTATACCCGTGATAGGATCTACCAACAATATTTCGGGCGCGGAGGTTTGCCAGTATCCTGGATCACCATCAGATGAGAGAAGCGGCATGGAGAAGCATATTATATCGCCGATAGTCAGGGTAGTCTTCGTCGGAAATATGATATCGCCGATCATCATGTGAACGTAGTCGTATATTCCACTAGGATGTTTCTCATTGAAGGTTTTCACAACTAGTTCGCCATTCTCTAGAAATCTAGCGGTGATAACGTTACCCGCGCCTGCGGTGAACGACGCTAGATCAGCGCGATTTAGCATGGCCTTAACATTTGTCTCGGCAGCGTGGAATCTATTTCCTATGCTGTCATAATACTCAATTACGTAATCCAGCTCCATTCCCTTCGGTAACATATTCAGCTCCTCGCCGTTCCGTATACGTAGTTTGGATTTCAGTGAAAGCATCATGTAATGAATAGGCTTGACTTCGACAACCACCATCAACGATTGCTTCAAATTGTACGCTTCTGTATTCATAACTAAAATAATCGTTTGACCGTAATTCTCGCCGGATCTCACGATTCCATTCTTCTCCACAGTCACGGCCTTCGCAGCGGGCGTCAAGGCGCGCAGATTCTCGGGTTCGTCGCTGTGCGCGCTTGACAGGATCCTGTAGGTCGTCGTACCGTGTTTGTCGCGATTAGTTTGCAGCTGCAGAACAGAGTTCGGCGACATTAATATCGTCAATACCGAGTTTCCCGACGACGGTGGATTAGTCAGATGCAACTCTTCAAAAATCTCAATTTTCACGAATGTAGTGTATATGATGTCGTTCTTGTTAAAGCTAGAGAGCATGTTGCAGGGTACAGTAGCGTTCAAATAGATTGTTGCCACGCCTGGATTTATAGCCCTGGCCCTCAGCGATACTTGATTTTGATATCTGATGTTAATGCCAGTGCCCTCGTACATGTTGTGCAAAGTCAGTAGACTAGGATCGCTCGATGACCACGCGAAACTCAGAGGTAACTGCATGGAACCGATGATGAGTGGCGTCAGATAATCGGGGATACCAAATGCCCACAGAGGAAACGTCGCGCCAACTTTTACTCTATTTACCGGGGTCGAGATCTTTACTCCGTCAAGATGCAACACATATATATCAGCGGAATCTTCCGAGTAAATCACTTTGTTACCCTTAGCGTCGAGTCCGACGGCACGCACGTGAATCGCAGTCCAACCAGCTGACTTTCCTTCAAGGATCCCATTGCGATCGACGCGTAGAATATCCCCGCTTTCTGTTGAGAATTCGATTTCAGCGTTCGGCGGGCCACCGATGGTCTGCATTTGATAAATGGTACCGATCAGTATCGTCAGATTCCTCGGCTGCACTCGCAGCGGGACAAATACTTGCACGGTGATCGGCTCGCTGCGTATTTCACGGTCGCCCGTCTTCACGAACATCAGTTGACTTTCACCCTCCGACAAACCGTAGATTTTATACAGTATTAGCTCATAGGGTGCGGCGTCTTGTTCGTTAGTAGGCAATTGTTTGATCTCGATATGTTCGTTGTCGATCTCCGCGCGGAAATCTAGCGCATTAAGAGAGGGCAGTTTCACGATGTGGTCGTTCGTGTCGTAAAGTCTCAACGCGGCTGTCACGCATTTTCCCTTCTCGATTTTATCCACGACGTCTACTTCGATAGCCGCGAGTTGTTGAACCTCTACATGTACTTCCGCCAACTTCGAGGGTAGACAGAGATCCATCAATGTTATATGAAGGACACCTGGTTTCCTCGGCGTCACACTGATCGTTCTCGTCGTATCCATGTACCGAATATCTGCTATGTCTTTCGAACTGAGAACTAATTCATAGTGACCAGAGCCTTGGCTGACCATCAAGTACGACTTCATGCTCGAATCGTTCAGAATTATCAATTTATCGGGGCTGACGATGGTATCGTTCACTAAAGTCACCTCTATAGAGGCTTCTATCAGTGGAGTCTCTACTCCGCCTCTCTCGTTCTCGATGGGAAACGGTGGCCATTCCGGTGAGATTTTCAGTCTGTTAAGGACGAGTTTCTGATAGCCAGTCACAGTCGCGAATATCGTGAGAACTCCATGATGCTTCTTGAAAATGATGTTTTGATAGTGACTCTTCGGCAAAACCACATTCATGTCCGTCCAAGTCTCTTCCATCGTGCTAGATTGGATTTCTACAGCGCCGCTACCAGACGGCTTCAAGTTCCACTCGATATTCAAACTCGTGATATTGTCAAACTGCTTGCCATCCTCATCTTTGATAATCACAGCGATCTTCAGATGCTTATGGCTGTGCGCCATTATCTTATCCGTGTTCTTACTGATCGGGCAATTCTTATCGTGTATCTCCTTGAATTCCGGTTGTAGATAGATGTACCTGGGCTTGCCACAGACAATCTCAATCGTTTCCGATGCGTGAGTGCGCCGACAATTCAAGAACAGGGGCACATTCGACACCGTATACGTCAACGCAGTTTTACCTAATGTTTTGCAAATCACTTTGAGAACGGCTCTGTCGAATGGTCCGCTTAATGAGTTTTCATATTCGGCCACTTCGGCAATCTCCTCGTTCGATAGATGTATCTCCCGCGAGTAATCTTGAGATTTATTCGTCCACGGCAACGGTCCGCCCTTAAATACTACGTACCTTGAGGACCCTACAGTGAGTAACGTTTCCTTACTCTTTGGATGTATCGCCGCGAGCGGCTCGTATGCTGACACGGTGACATTGTCTGTTAAATAGTGGTCAATCACATCGTTGTTGTTCGCATTGTAGGCAACGGTCACGTCGGATGTACCAACGCTGCGATAGTTTATTACGGTTATCACGGCGCACGCGGCGCCAACCGGTTGTGCATTCTTATCATAACTCCGTACGAAATTCACGTCCGGGATATGTACTTCAAAATCGACATCCTTGCAGTCGCTGAAGGGTATCTCCCTGGCATCGGATCCATTAATCAGTAGCCCAAATAATGCGACGTGCAAATGAATAGGTTCTCCTATAGCCGCCTCCATGTTATACTCGATAATTTTCAGCTTTACAGGAGGCAATACATGTATCTTCGCCGTGTCTCTGTTGTACTGATTTCTTGCCATCATGACAACTACTTCCGCCGTACCCGCTGACAGAATTTTGATACCACCGTTCTGTGAGACAGCTAGTATCGACGGTTGTCTACTGGACCAAACGTACGACCCGTCTCCTCCGCTCGTTTTCAACATTATGTCAAATCTAGGACACACACAGCAATAAAAAGTAGACAAAACAAATTTATAATTACTAATCCTTCAAAAAAATTAGAAAAAGTTCATATCTGCTAGCTCATATTTGCAGAACAATAAAAGGAATAAATAAACAAAAAAAAACAATGGCTGAGGAATACTAAATCGAAACGTCCCGTTAAATCTAAAGTTTATATTGAAATAAATTAATTTTATTTTTAAATATACACAACATATTTTGCTTGTTTTTGGCCTATTTATTCTTTTTATTAATTCTTTTGATCAACAATTCCTCTATACTTACCTAGACTTGTTCACAATGTCCCATGGAACAGCCAAGACGCGAGGTTGAATCTTTACTGGTGTGTGTATCGTGAGTTCAGCTCTCGTAGAAAGCTGTGGCTCAAAGGCAATCCTCTTGCCATGTTCATCGATTATACCGCGCAACATCGCTTCCACGGTCGTTATTCCACAGACGATCGGTATAACGATAGCATAAGTACCATTTTGTGTAATCGACTTCGGTTCTAAATATTGCTCGTTTAATTTCATGGAGACTTCTACGCCTTCTCCGATGTGGAATTTATGATCTTTGCTATTGTATAGTTCAACAACGATCTCGTGAGCGTGACCTAATACTAATCCCCAGTTTCTATTTGGTAAAACAGAAAGGGAGATATATGCAACTTCGTGTATGTTAACTATAGCTGAAGGTAGAATAACCGGATACTCTTCACGGACGTTCTTATCATGTAGGAACACCTTCGTACGTCCCAGTTTACGTCCATAGGCAAAATCACGATCGTTATCGATCTCTAATATATCGGGACTTTCGGCTTCCAGATAATACTGGCTCAAAGGCAGGCTGATTTCCTCTAAGCGACCCTGACGAGTGTGCATTATCTTGTATCTAAAGCTGTCGTGGGCCATTATTGTTATCTCTGGTGGAATGATGATTAAATTGGCAATGACAACCAATTCCAATTCTATGGATGGAACATATTTATACTCCGAATGCGGTAATCTAACAGATACCTTAGCCGTGCCGGTTCTAACACCTTCTATGAGAACAATGTGACCTCTTTTGTCAACACTATCTAACGTAGCTATACTGACGGGCCTTTCGTACTGTGACTCCTCGTAAGTCATAAAACGAAGCACATTGCTCGTAGTTTTACTGTCCGATGGCATGTGTTTATTAGCATCGCCAATACTCCATACAAATTCTATGCCTGCTAGAGTTGTAAACTCATTTCCGTGTTCATCGTATGCTCGAACCTCAAAGGCTTCAGGTATATCCTCGATGTATAACTCTCTCGTAGTAGTAATAAGATTTAGAGAGAAAATTGCATCTACTATAATATCGCATCTCAGAAAGTAACCAGTATTGATGTCCTCTGCCAAGACAATTGCAGTGTTCCTCGTCAGTTCTCTCGTTATAGTTTGAATCAATACCGCTGGAGAACATGTTCTGTCAAAGTTCTCGTTTATAGGAATCAGCTGTATAATATCCAAACGCGAGGTAGACCTATAAAACATGTCAAAGAAAAAAAATAAAGAATATAAAAATAGAAACGTTAATCAAATATTTCAGAGGAATTTCTCTACAACACAACATTTTTATATAAACATAAAGTATTGGTATAATTTATTTGAAAATAAAGATGCAAGTATCTATCTAGATGCATGTACTATCTAACCTCCTCCGGAGCTAACGATAGATTTATTGGACCTATTCAATTCTAAATTTCCCACACAGCACACTTTATCTGAGGGATGTCCTGGGAATATAAAGATGTGTTCAGAAATCTTTAAGACATCCCTTAGAGGTTTGCAGTATGGGTTCTATGAAAAATATCAAGTAATTCTTTTTATATCTGCAAATTTGAATTATTCTTGTTAAAAGTTACTTGAAATTAATTAGTGTTTTTTATTTAACATAAATTAAATGAGTCAGATCCAGTATTGCTACTTGTGTTACAGATTTTGGCGTCAGTTTCAACAAATTTATATTAATATCGCAAACAGGCACCACATTTGTTTATTCTATTCCAAGCAAAAGAAAGTACTACGTCACAGGGACGCAACCTTTAACTCGCGGGGAAAGTTACACTATGATCGTCAAAAACCATGAATGCCAGCGAGATATTCAGGATACGTTCCGTTTCACGCATGATGTATCATTTTATCCTTCTTTATCTATATTCGGTGAACAACGAATATAGATATAAAATGATACGCCATACGCGTTAATGCGTGAAACGTGCGTGAAACGTACTCCTAAACGAGGAGGTTATGGTACGACCGGCACCCCAGCAACGTGCTCAGTGCTATGTGATGGAAAGTTCATGCTGTTCAAGGAAGATGATAGTTCCGCGCAACCACGCGCGATCGGGAGTTGGCATCGGCGCGACTTGTAGTTGCAAGAAACGAAAAGAAAAAAATGATATAATCACCATTTATAGCAACCGCCGTCTGTCACCTCTAGCGTGAAATTCACCGCGAAATTGTTGAATACAGGCAACAGGACCCGAGGCACGTTCAATCTATGCGTTGTAGAGACCGTTGCGTCGTAAAACGCCGCAACCAGGCCGACGAGCAGCACGGCTCTCCAGTAGAGTGTCGTCGACCCGAACATGTTGCCGAATGCCGATGCTGCGCCGGCGTCTGTTACAGGGTATTACCACTATTACCGCGCACGATTTCAGCTTATTCAGATTTCAGTCAGCCACCTTCGGAATTTCACTAACAGCTAACAGCTTCGAAGTCTTCGAACCCTCGAGGCGCTCGAACTGCTCGAACTGTTTCAAATGTGAAAAACCGCGTCAATACCGAGCGAGATATCGAGAGGAGAAAACCGCGTTCAAGTGTGCTGAGCAGCGCTCAGGAAACCGCGAGTCGCGACTGATCACTTGTCCGGAATTTGAACAAATATTTCAGACACAAAAATTGAGAATTATGAGGCGAAATCGGAATGAGGCAAATATTGGAATTCTACCAATCCGGTGGCGTTAATCTTAATCCTCCGCATTTCTCCGTATTTTTATTGGTCGAATTCTATTTGAAATTTCAATTCAATTTTTTAAATGTTGGTTTAGTAAGCTTTCAACAAGCAGCACTGTATAATGCCTACTGTAGGACGATGAGCGATATCCAATGAGAGCTCAGTTTTACATCGTCACGTGAGAAAAAGCAGAGTTTTCATTGGATATCGCTCGTTGCTCATATATCGCATCCAATCATTGGCTGCGTTCAGCAGACTCGTCGCGCTGATTGGTTTATACTTTTAGTTTTAAAGGAATAGTCCAATCTGAGCGAAGAATCATAAAACGGTTGCAAAACTGTTGAGTCTGCTGATCGCAGCCATTGTAATGATTCATTGGATGCTTTCCATTTTGATGACACAAGGTGCGTTCCGTATCGCGCATGATGTGCATGATGCATCCATTGTCCTTGTTTAACGTTTGGTGAGCAACAAGGATAAACGATGCATTATGCGCATCATGCGAGAAACGGAACGCACAGTCGACACAAGCGTCGTTCTATCCTTGTTGACATTTAAAGAGTGACAAAGATAGAACGACACTTAGTGTCGACTTGTGTCATCAAATGGAAAGTACATTTGTGTCATATAATAGTATGTGTCCGTATATAGTATTACATATACGCCTGTGTCTCTCTTTAAATCTTAATACGTATGTATGTACAACTTCACGACACATGCTCAGCCTTAAGTATGAGCACCTCCACAATTGACGTAAACATTTTATGTCTAATGAAAAATAAATTTAAAAAGTTTTATTAAAAAAGAATATTTATTTTTATAATTTTAATATTTTGTTCGTTTGTCTCTTATTGGTATCTTTTTCAAGAAAATGCAATAAATTGAGGATGTTTTACACTCGTGACATCAAGACTGTATATATAAATGTATTGTATATACGTAATATATAAACATATATATGCACATGTAACACAATATAAGAGATTAGCGACCTGCGTCATCATGATATACTTCTCTTGAATATACAATCGCGATGTTTTTACGTTTCGATTTCGATAACATTCGTCGGCGGCGGTTATGAGAATCGTGGAGCGTGCGAGCGAGCGAGAATGTGCGATCAGTGGACGAGTCACGAGTGGACAATCTGTCGCGTGATGAACGCGGGAGTTTAGTGTGTATAGCAACGTTATTAGTGTATATACTTGTATATATTATAGATGCCTCATTTCCTCGCAATGTGTACCTGATTAATTAGCACGCTTTAATCACACCACGTTAAAACGTATCTACGCACGATGTCCGCTCTGCGAAAAAAAGCGAGTCGAAGACCGACGAAAGAGCGAAGAGAGCCTGATAAGTTTGTAGGAGGTTAAGTGCTCGTGTAGTACATATATATGCACATGTATATAAATATGTACTACCACTTATTCGTATTGTAAATTTATTTGTCGTTGCACTGTACGAAATTTATCTCTTTCGTATATATCTATGAAAAGTTACATAAATACAAATATGGTCTTCATTGAGTTTAAATTTTTTAATTTGAAATAAATTATATATAAATGTTAATTTCTTTTTTAATAAATGTAAAATAACAAGAGACTGAACTAATATGTTTAAAATAGAGAATTTTTATAAATTAAAAAAAATTTCATTTTTATATCTTGTAAATAATTATTATTTTGATATGATTTAATGAATTATTCGGTTTAGCCTTTCTTTTTAGCTCCAATTTTGATGAAATTAAACTCATATGACACTTTTAATATTTTATAGCAGATATAACCATTGACGAATCCGCTAATGCTTTACGGATACCTGTAAAGTTCAAGAAATCGGTTAGAAATGTCTCTAATGAAGGTTAGATAATAAATTATAATACTTTTAAAATATTTTTTATTGTTAAAGTGTAAATATGATAATTTGTTGTTTAAAGTAATCCTCAGTATTTTGCATATTTTCATTTTTCTAGTATTACAATTGGTATTGCACGAGGCTTTTAATTCTGTTATTTAAATGTTATTCAGTGAAACAGGAAGTAACAAAACAAGAAGAGGAATTAGTATGGGATGACGCGGATGAAGAGAACTTATTAAAAGATAATACGAAAGAAAGGAGGAATAGAAGATCGAAATGTCAAAACAATAATGATGAAGATGAAGGTAAATGGAAATATATTTTAATTAAACAAATATTTACAATGATAAAAATCATAAACATATTAAGTATCGTATACGAAGAAATATTACAAAAATTTATTATGTTTGTTGACTAGGAATTGATTACCCATCAGATATATGGTTTATTATCTCAGAATACATACAACCTGAAGCAGTAGGAAAATTTGCAAGGATTTGCAAAAGTTCTTACTACGTAACTACTACTGGAAAATTTTGGTTTCATTTATACAAGTCGTAAGTACTTCATTATATTGATAATGGTATATAATTTAAAATCTATAAATTTATCTTTAAAGATAAAAATTATTTTCAAATTATATTGATATTTTTTGAATGGATTGATAACGCTAAAATGTAACATATCTGTTAATATAATAAATATGATGCAGTTGCGTGATTGTACAATAATTTCTAAAATCAGATTGTAATTTTAGATATTACAAATTCGTACCATCTTTACCAGAGCGCCTGCAACCACAATGTCAGAGGTTACATGGACTGAGAGCTTGCGTTATCAGGGCATTACATTACAATTATTTTAGAACGTCGGAAGGAGAAGGAGACGATATGTCTTACTTACGACAGGAGGAACCGCATTCTCTTGTGAAAAGAAAATGCATTCTCATGTGGCATAAAGTAAATTGCGAATAACTCTTTGTCCACATTTAAGCTCTAAGCTCAAGTAAACGTGTAGCTGTTCTTTCATATATCTTTAACAGTAATTATGTAATTGTATTGAATTTATCGTTCTTTATTTCACATTACGTGATAATATTTAACAACGTTGTGATGTGTCCTAGGAGGGGAAAGTACGGTGGTATTTCTATTTTAAGTTGAAGGAAATTTCCAAAATACGTAACAACCTGTTGAAGCAAAATAAACAGTGTGATGTTAAAAAAACGGAATTTCTCGAAACGTTGGAAGACGTGGCTGTTAATCCCGAAGACGGTTGCAAAGTGCTTAGGGTTTGTAACGTAGAACTTATTCGTAGTTTCTCAAAGAAATTAAATTCATTCATACATTACATTCATTTATTTGTATGTGTGTGTGTGTATAGTAATATATTTTAATATATTTAATGATTTATGTGTAGGTGAGTTGCTTAAAGTATAGTATGTTACCACTGGTGATCGGGTTGGTCCTGCAAACAGTATCTATAAACTTAATGCCAGGCTTTAGAGAATACCGACTTCAACTTGGATTCGGAACGTCCGATGTTCCTAGTACGTTAACAAATCAAATAATACTTCGTAATGTTATCGGATACAGTATCTTGAATTGGTGGGATCCCGCTTATCCTCATCAGGATGTGGGTTATACGATCGAATTGCCGCAAAACGACTCGTGGGAAATCTAAAATTTATTACAGATTGTTCTTATATTTTGTATATTGGGGAAATAGAGCTTTTAAATTTTATAAGACAAATATATATCAACGCGTAACAAATGTAAAGTTCGAATTAATACCTTTTTTTTTTTCATCAATTCATGAATGATTTCAAAGTTATAATATGATTAAGAAAATAAAATATAAACAATACCGAAATAATAGACAACGCAAATTTGGTGCAAAAATGTTTTATGTACATTATTATGTTGTATAAAGTATATGTACATCAAAATAAAATTATTATATAAGATTATAAATAATAATTTGATTAATGTACCAATTCGATTGCAACAATTCGAATTAGAGATGTTTCTTACTTTCAAAACTTTTACAGTGACTGATAACTTACTAATTGACAATGTGTTTAAGTTGTTCCTGAACTGTACATTTTACATAATTTAATAAACAATTATTGCTGGCAAATTTCATTTCTTAACAGCTGCTTCTACAGCATCTATCAACTCCTGCAGATGATGTATGTTATCAGTTGAAATATTAAGATCTTTGACCTAAAAGATAGAAGTAATTAGACATAAAAATATATTTTTTAAATGCATAATATTTTCTTACCATATTTGTGTAACCATCCACATCTACTTTAAGTTGAATACGTATTTTTTCGTCATCGCTGGTTCCCTGTGGTTCCGAAGGAAGAATTTCAGTGGATTTATCACGAATCTTTTTCAATCTTCTCAAACTCTCCTCAGTTTTTTGTACAAACGTTAACACATCCGTAACGAATAGTAAATAACTAAAATAAAATCCAATATTCTTACTATATGCATAATTAATTTTAAGTAATTTTGAAAACGTTTTCAGATTTTTATATAATAATATTATTGAAGAAATAATAAAGAATAAATAAAAATAAATTATTTACCTTTCTGTTAACGAGGATAAAGTTAGTTCTAACCAAAGAATAATATTTTCGGGAATAATCTTGTTATACTCTGTATAAAAATTTGTAAGAGGAATCATCGCGCTCTTTACATAAGAACAAGGTTTAGTTGGCACATCTCGTTTTGTTCTTCTAAACAGTCGAGGAATGTCGCTAACTTGTTTCAAGTGTGTTACACATTGCTCTGAGAGCTCGTTCACGATTTCTTTCGTAACTAAAGGCAAAAGATTGGCTAGACTGTTCGATGTTTCACCTAGAGAATCTAAAATACAAGAATTAATAAACTAAATCTTAATAGTTTAAGATTATATATACTTATTTATAGTTCTTCGTATATATTACCTTCTAATAATTTCGATATTGTAATGGTCTCGTCTTTAATTTTTGACTGTACCATTTGTAAGAAAGATGGTAAAGCATTTATCAATTTTTCTATATCAATATACAAATACACTAGAAAGTTCACTCTCGTAGAGCGTTCCGAGTCATTTGAATTGTTAGTTTCGTTTATTACCGGCCATATCTTTAAATATAAAAGTTGTTATACTTTCTATATATGCATAGATTTGTCTAATTTATGTGTATATCTTACACATGCACACATAATATATAAGTTGAATATGAAAACGTACTTGATTCATTGCACTCTGACACCAAGTTTGATATCTCGAGCTTATTTGAAGACCGAGTTTCCAGAATCTGATAATCGTAACATTGCGTTAGTTCTAATCGCGAGATTAAGGTTGAAATGAAATTGATTCAGAGAATTATAAAGTGGTTGCTTTTACCTGTGAAATAGTTGATATAAATAGATATCATCAGTCCAAATCCTAAGCAAATTATCCCAAACCACATCGGTTGCATGAAGCGAGAATTCTTTTTGCGTTAGAGATGTCAAACTACCTTTAACTGAGTCCGGCGATATTGGCTCAGCCAACACTACCTCTACGGTGCCGGCTATTTCTTGAAATCGAATTTGAAAGTACACCGGCAAATTCCATTTCTTGAGAAAATTCTTGTATTGTGGATGATTTCTCAGTGCCGCCAAAATATCGGGCGTAATACATTCTGTTTCTAATTTTGTTAAAAACTCTAACGTAGCTATATACCTCTGAAATTGTGATGATTTATATATTTCTATCTAGGCATTGATATTACACATTTTTTAATATTTCACTTACTTTATGAAATAGTACCGGATCTCCCGGAGCAAAAATTGATTTTATATATTGCTCGATTTTTTCTTCTATCTCAACCCAAAAGCTATTCACCAAAAAATTAAATCCTTTCACAGACATTCTGCAACATCAATATAATATTCTTATTGTTCTTATTATCAATATAATAATTATTAGTGTATCTAATGTTATAAATATGTAAACTATATGTAAATTATATGCATAACCAAATGTAACTTGTAAATACCTCTCAGGATGTAATGTGATATCTAACAACTGTTTCAACTCTACATTTAGAATGTTCAGTAACCTATGATAAATGCTCTGCAGGCCAAGTGGATCAGTTTGGAGATTATCTTCGTTAACTACATTATAAATTAATGGCCTTACAAGCTCGTGCCTAACTAATTCTTCTGCATTTGTTATTTTGTCGAGTGTAAGATAAATTCTAAGGCAACGGATTGCCAAACTGGAATTCTTCTCATGTATACATGCCAAGAATAATTCGTTCAGACATGTTACATATAAATTTTCCAATTCTATAGTTTCCTGTTGAGAAATAATCGTTTTAGCTTATTAATTGGTTGTTTTTTTTTATTTTACTATAAACACAGTATCATTTTATTTCTAAAAATTCGTACCTTTTCTTGATCAACTGAAATATCCGATTTACACCTGGACATATGGAATTTTAATTGATTCAATTCAATTGCAGCCTGCTCCAGAACATCGATTTTTGTGGGATTTTCCATAAATGTTTTCATGCATAATATGGAGGAAAGCTTCCTCAGCGACTTGTACACATGTTGTAAACTGTGCAAACTTTGCTTGCGTTCTCTTATCTTCAGATTGTTATTTAAATTACCCGAAATAGCTGTTATTTCATCATCCAGAGCTTGTCGCACTTGCTGTCAAAACAAAATTCTGTCACTAGATCAAAATAGATAACACAGCTATGTAAGATAGAGATTTTGGATGTCAATTTTATTCTAAAACGGTTAAAATTTTAACAACGTCGGATAGAATCTCTTTGTTGTAATTGTACTTTTTCATTTTTACCATAACTTCCTCCTTCAGCTGTCCAAGCGGCGCTTGCAAATCATTGATGGCGTTATCTAGCCCGATTAAATTGCTAGACAAATTCACGAAATCCGTATAATCCCTGTTAATTAGGTCAATCATTGCCGATCTCAGTAATTTCAAGTACATGCCAAGATCATCCCGCATCGTCTCCAGTTTGCCATTCTTCCTGTGATCTTGCAGAAATGTGTCGACATCGAAATTTTCCTACGACGTCAAATATAAGAATATAACGGGAAAGAATATTAAATTTATATTTCGTAAATATTGTAAACGTGGCAATAAGAAAACGTACGAACCTGTACGAAATCGAGTTCGGAGAAGCACAAGTCCTTAGGAGCTTTCGGTAAAGTGATATTATTGTTAGACATAATTATATTTATACCCCCTTATCTCGCTTGAAGATTAATCAGCAACTGTCATCGCAGGAAAACTCTAATTGCTCTCGATATACAAAATTTCGCTATCGCTAACTCTCGTGTTTGACGTCCCAACTTAAAGGCTTCTAGATACTTAGATAGCATCCGCAAGTCGCAACCCGCTGCCCGCAACGATCATAACTACATAAAGCTCGTATCGCACTGAGCATTAAAAAGTAATATCGTATCTCGATCGCGTAATGCTGGATTCACCCTGCATCCGATTTGCATCGTACGACGCTCTGCAACCAATCAGAAAACAGGATTCCGATGGATTTTGCTTCGTATCATCACGACGCAAATCGGATGCAAGGTGAATCCAGCATAACAACCAATCATGTTTCGCCATACCCTATTATTTTCAAAAAAGCAAAACAATGATTGGTTATCGCGCGAATCGCGTTTATTCTAGGCGTCGCCACGTGTGTGGTGGACACGAAGTTTCTCGTGCGTTTCCGATCTAAACGAAGAATATTCTGTATTTTTGGCTGCACAAAATATCAACAAAAGTATGTTCTAACCTGCGGTGGAAAGTAAGATAGAGATTAATTACTGTCTCTGGACTGAATTATCTTTAAAATCGTGTTTATTTACCAAAGACACTTATTGATATCTATAGGTGAGGAATCTAAGGCAAAAATGAGCATGTACGATGATTGGGACGTGGAGCAGCATAAAGTGGAATACGAGTCTGACGAGCACTGGGAGTTAAGGCGTAAATTTCTGCTGACCCACAAACATAAATTCCCCGAAGATATACTCGTTTGTTTAGCCCAAGTGTTTGTCAATGTCGAACTGTTAGGATGCAGGTAATGTTATCTGGCAGATTCATGTTGTTCTTGCCTTTACATATATTAGGATGCTTTTCCTTACATCAGCGGATGACAGAACAGTCATACGCTGTGTGACACAGTATTACAGTGTCAATTTGTAGATCAAATGTTGCTTAGCTTTTTTATTTCACTTCCAGAATAAAATAAAGAAAAGGTCTCATATATCTATATCTGAATATATCTGAATATATTTGAATACAATCTTAAAATCTTTTATTGGCTCTTAGAAAAATAAAACAAGTAACCAAACTCTTGAGAATGTTAAAAAATAAAAACAAATAAGAGCTAATGAGAGTTTTTTGCACAATTGTTAGTGTGAAAACAAAAATTGTTTATTGTCGAAAAATTATAGTATAGTTAGTTACGTATAATTAGTCATATGTAATTAATTATATTATTATTACTTAAGACATAGAACTTGGGAAACAGGTGTCATAAATTTAAAAGCAAGCAAGCATGCTATAGTAATTGCAGTAGTGGAAGCAGGTGTAGCTCTGTCTGTTGATATAGTCACATCTACTTCCACTATTGCTGCTACTATAGCTATATAAATATTGCTTAGATCAGAAAAGTATCACTTCTATGACTTCTGCCAGGTTGTCGGTATTAGTCCACTATACTGGGCCTTATGAAACTGTTTAATCTTTTCCTTCAGTTTCTC